TAGAATCTCATACCTCAATTTTAAAGTCGTGCGTTGATTGGTCAACACGTCAACCGGATGAGAGGGTATTTCAAGTGGAATTCAACGGTGAGAAACCTGAATTCAACGCTGAGAAACCTGAATTCAACGCCCCGATAAGCTACCTTAAAAACACTTGCGTTATTTCAACAATTTACTCACAAAATCCGTGTAAAACCCTGGCAAAAGTTATTATCTAATTGTTTTAGTTCCCAACAACTTGTCTATTCACTTTCTCTAGATTTCAAGAAKCAAAATATTTTTATTTTTTGCAAATTAAGTAGCAAAAACAAAAACACATTTAACTTAAGTTAGTTAAGTTTAAGCTTAACTCGATAAAAGCAACGTTTTCAAACGAAAAAATACCCCAAAACTCATAAATATAACGTCACAATTAATTATTAAAATACTATTTATTAAATACCTGCATGGTAGTGTAATACATTTTAAAGTTTGTCAAGATCAGTTCATCTACGTAAACAAAAATTGAGCGGCCTTCGCCGTTTCTTGCACGCCGTTTCTTGCAGAAAACTAAAGCTGTTTCGCTTGTCATTTTTTCTTGAATATTCCATGCCAGAACAAGTTATGGGATGAATTTATGAAATGTTTCTGTGTTTGAGTTTTTCAGCTACTTTTTGATTGAGAATGTCTACTACTAGTACGCTTTCTTTCACAAGTAAACATGAAGTAGGTTTTGAAGTCTGCTTGGCAAGTCAGGGCTACTACTGACTTCGACGAGTTTCGTTCGTCCAAATAAGACTCAAAATATGACTTTAAACTTGTTTTCAATTTTTCAGTAACAACCTTTCGAAGTCTTTTCTACATAGATGATATTTCTAATCGAGATAAGAATGGAAAACTGTAGAAATCTTAGGATTTGTGGCCCYGGKCTGTYTGCAAGTTTGCMGTCSGCCKATGATCGTTGCAAACTCGCTCTGAAAAACCGGTTTGAGCTTGTGAGTAAAAATACTGAAAAGCCATTCGAGTGCTAAAAATTTGTTTGTTTTAGTTATTAAAAAGTAATATTTCTTTAGCTAAAATGAAAAAAAAAAAACAACAACAACAAAACTGAAAATGAAATTCTCGCACTGAACTCACGAGCGATCGCTTCAATTTTGCAAACGCACGCTCATTTCTAACCTTTTTTTGTTATTGTTTTTATAATTTTTTTCTCCTTTAAAATTGAGGCATGAGATTCAAGGTAAATTCATTGGATGACTCGTGAATTCCGCGTTGAATTCACTCGTCACCCAATGAATTTACCTATAAAATCCAATCAAGAATTGAGAAATATACGTTGTAGGAACTAAAAATAATAATCACTCTGAAAATATTTAATGTGTTAATTCTAAATACTTCCATTATAAAGCCAGTGATCGATGGTTTCCAAAAACAAAAGAAACTACGAATAAATGAGTTATTTTACAGTATGACTAACATGTTATTTTCACTAGTGAAAATAACACATTCGAGGTTTCTCAATATAGTGGAAGTAAGAAAAAAAACTTTCATATGTAATTATATAATAATCAGAATATTGCATGAGCGCTTTGAGATACGAATTTTATCTTCTCACGTTGAAAATCTTTTCAACACTCGAAGATAAAATCCGTATGTTCGCGCGCCCATTTAATACCCTCTATTTCTTCTACAAAAAAATATCTATAAAGAATATAGTTTTTACGCGCACTTATGCGCATTCGTCATGTAAGACATAAACAAAATTCAGTTAGGGCCCCATCACGAGAAATTAATTAACGCAAACAGGGTTTTTTAAATTAATTTGGCACTTTTAATGAAAACAGATATATTAGTTTAATAAGTGGTTTTCAAGAATAAATTATATGGACTAAAATAAAAACGACTATGTGTAAGATAATCGCGAGTAAGAAACTCCCAATAGTATGCTTTATAGTGTGCTGAAGCATTACTTACATTGTGTGACAAGAATGTTGTACTAAAATTTTTGTAACTGCAAGGCTTCCCCTTCCAAGTACAAACTTTAATCATATCTTTAGCCGTGTGCCCATACTTGAGGACTGCTTCTTTGATGTTGAATGAACTGTTCAAGGTTTTATGTTTAACTTTATCGGCTTTKAAAGGATCAAGTTTGTCCAAGTAGAGTTGTGCATCTGTTCCCTTAATCTTGGATCTGACGATATATATATTATTAAAATCGAGTCAATAATGTAATTCCAATATAATAAAGCATCCCAGTCACAAACAAGAAGAACAAGAAGAACAAGAAGAACAAGAAGAACAAGAAGAACAAGAAGAACAAGAAGAACAAGAAGAACAAGAAGAACAAGAAGAACAAGAAGAACAAGAAGAACAAGAAGAACAAGAAGAACAAGAAGAACAAGAAGAACAAGAAGAACAAGAAGAACAAGAAGAACAAGAAGAACAAGAAGAACAAGAAGAACAAGAAGAACAAGAAGAACAAGAAGAACANCAGGCAAAAAGGTGATTATTAAATATTAATGTTCGAAGTATACATAAAACCTATGGACAACAAATAGTTAGACAAAGAAGTGAAATAAGTAAAATATGTCTTCTTGGAATGAGAAAGARCTTCCAAGAAAAGATMAACAAAAARTACAATTCGTTTGAGAAAAAGCAATTGAAAAATGCATCAWTGAAATGGATGGTATCTGCGATGTTATTCTGCATAAAAAGAACAATTATCTTTAGTTGCTAGGTTCACCAATATTTAAATTAATTTAACAAGCAACAKCTGAAAATAATTGAATGCGCTGTCGCTCCCTCAGTGCCAAAGCAAGTCCGCGAGATTAGCTTAAGTGGTCCAAAAAGCAATCTACAAATAAAGGACAATACTTATCAGTTGTTCATTTATTTCGATCGGAGGCAACCAAAGTACTCACCCAAACCATTTGGTTAATTAACAATTATTTTTTGATCCTTTTATTAAAAAAGCTCAAAAGGTGCCCAAATGTCAAATAAGCTCGACTTGCATCTATAATCGGTGATAATCAAGCAGTTTTCATGAACAGGACAGGTGTCGGYGTGTGAATTCTATGTCTTTTTATTCACAACAATTAACTGTTAGTGGCTGTTTAATGTTTCTTAATAATTAATATCTTGTCCACCTCCATTACATATTGTATTGTCCGCCATCCCTAGAATCTCAGGCCTCATCACTTCAACACCGCAACTATCTGTTATAGATACATTTGGATATAGTTCGTTTAAAGTGCACATCACCCCTAAAAATTCAAAACTTTGAAGCAATTTGTAGGAGTTCAGTAACCATTTCTCGTTGTCAGAATTGATTTTGGAGCAATGAGGCATTTTTTTTATAGATTTTTAAATATTATTACGACCGCACCTTGGCCGGGAATACGAGAGCTGGTGCTAGTCACAGGATATGACATCAACTTTAGTTAGGTACCATCGAACTGTCAAGGTTGTAAGTAATTCTCTCACTTYGCATCAGGAGAGCAAATCAATGGCAAAATCTAGTTCAAAAGTCCACAAAATGACAGAAATTTCTAGTCTGACTCGGCAATGAGCTTTCATTCGGATGACTCCGAGTACATGTATATTCTCGGTATCGTAACATTGCTGCTAAACTACCTCGAAGAATGCGAAAACGTTGAGACAACGACGATTCTTGTGTGCCGTACGAGGGAGAGCCGCTAGCTGAATAAGCACGGCTTGAAGACTATTAGAAAATTTTCTCAAGGAATTACARCAAAGACTACATYACAAAGAAAAGTTTCTCCAAACGCACGAGCTTTGATTACGTTTCCTGGACATTAAATTATACTGTAAACTTACTTTTACTTTTTTGTATAACTAGGTGTTTATGTSGACAAAACTGTACCTGAGCACTCTTGTTACCCATTTTTTTTCGAAGCTTTGATGTTTTAACTAAAGAGATCGACCGATACGTWGATGAATGCAACAGTCTAGAGAAGACGTCTTAGTCGACATTAGATTCGAAGCAGCCACAAAGTCAATCCTGGCTTGTCTTCGCTGTTTTATAGCCATTGGTCTCTAGTCATTTTCAAAAGGAATTTGAAATAAAGTTATTCTAGAACCTTTTAAGCCGGCTTTCAGTGTTCGAAAAGTTTCAGACAACATCGAAAAACTATTGCATAAAAAAAAGTAAAAATATTCCCTTCGAAGTAGATAGATGTCATGCTTTCTCAAGTAGGTGATAGATGTTTTTGAGCCGATTACGCCTGCCCGTACTCCTAAGTTGACGTCACAACTGGCCTTCGATCCAGATCGTTTTCTCTCTTCCAACCTAACACAGGCTACCAAAAAGCCCACATTCAAACTCAAGTATCTCGCTCAGAATCTATCCAACCGAGCTGAAAAAAAAAAACATTTTTCATAGAATTTCCATTTTCAGGGTTGATGTGCACAAGTTTTCACGGTATATATCATTAAAGACCAAATAGATGAAAATAAGAATAACTCATGTCGGATATAAACGAAGAGGAAAAATAAAGACCTTTACCAAATGTCAGTTCGCTTGCCATCCAATCTCAAAATCATCAATAAAGATCAACAATAAGAAATATACCTTTCTCCAAAATTGCTGCAACTTATTCATTATTTTTTTATTTTATTGTATTTGTAATTATTCTTTATTCCATCTTAAAAGTGAAACCGATATGCTAGACTATAAACCTCGCTTAAAAGATGTACATGAAACCAAGAATTAATTTTTCTTAAGAAGAAATCCTTCAGTAACATAATAGTAATAGTAATAATGATAATAATAATAATTATAAAGCAGTAGTAAATGCGACCAAGTAATCTGAACACGATATAGAAATGAAAGCAAGTTATAGTGCTTAGAAGGAGGCAATTCCGGGAGAAGTCCCTTGGAAATAAATTCGGAAAAATTAATTTCCGACCTCGCTGGGATTCGAACCCACGACCTTCGGATTGTACACCGATGCTCTACCAGCTGAGCTACAAGGCCAGACTGGGAGCAGGTTGTGGTGAAATAGATGTTAAGGTTGCGGTAATAGAATAATGTAAAGATATGAATATATATATACAAGTAATCTGAATACTTCTATGTAAATAGTAAATACCCTCCAGGGTCAAGTTTTCGCTGTGCTACAGCAGCATCAGGACTGGACAGTGGATAATTTGGAATGACAATTGGACATCAAACCTTTAYAGGCTATCTCTTTTGTTTAGAATTATTATTTTTACGTATTAYATCTATGATACATATTATCATTGTCAAATGTTAAACTAACATTTGCAAATCGCTTATATATGCCATTCTGCTTAGACTAGCTCCAGAAAAATTCATGTATTTTTTGTAAGTAAATAACATGTTTGTTTGTTTGTTTGCTTGAATATATATCTAGAACATTCCCGGGGGGGTTACTCGACCCCGTTTTGGATAGGTACGTGCCGCCAGCGGTCTAAAACCCTTACCCTGTTCAAGACACTAGAAAGTAAAAATCAATACCCTGTTCAAGACAAATCGGAAAAATATGGAATAGCTATCTACGCCGCAACCATCAAAACTGCAATTATACTGACATCCATCAAAGACAATAAGAAGTTTTTGATAACACCTTAATCCTGTTACAGTGAAACAGTATTTCTACTTATTCTACGGTATTTCTTATGAAAATATTACCCTGTCCAAGACACAAAAAAATTTTATCGGTCTTTTATCTATATTGTAGAGCCTGTTTAAGACAATTTCGGGTGAAATGTATACCCTGTTTAAGACAGCAAGGCCAAAAACCATACTCTGGCCACCGGCACGTCCCCGGGAGAACATTCCATCACCTAAAAGGTTTCTCGTTGAAACGCAATCCTTTTATTCTTCCATAAAAATTGATTGAATAATGCTACCATGTCACTCTAGGAACTCGTAGGGCACTGTGGTCCGATCAAACCCTTACGTTTATAAAGAGTTCAAAGTTTCCATGTGAAGTGTAGGAGTTTGGTCTTCTCCACCATTACACATAGCATTGTCGATCCCTGCAAGGTCAGGTCTTACCACCTCAGCACCACAAGCATCTCTACAGATGCACTTGGATATTATTCGTTTAAAATTTTCACGGTATATTCCATTAAAGATCAAATARATGAAAAAGTTATAAGAATAGCTCATGTCAACTATAAACCTACAGGAAAAGTCAACAATGTTGCGAAGGATACTGGACTGTATCACTATTCCTTCCCTTGATAAAATTATAATAACAATGAAATATGCCCAACTCAAGAATTGCAGGCTGACAATAGTT